GTCACCCAACAAGCAATGGGCCTGGTACAAAGGCAGGCCATCCTCTGAAGACTCAGTTCTAGAGATAGTCGGGGTGAGCACGTTTTGAATCTGCCACTAAAATGCTGTTCTGTAGCCAGAACACACAAGTCTGAGAGTCAAGAATGGAAGTGAGCACATTCCTGACTCTTAGGGTCTTAATTCCCAAACACAATGCTCCCACTGAGTTGAAAGTCGGGGGCTACAGCCAGCCACTGGGGCTCCCTATAACAACCACCAGAAAGGGGCTGGTGCAGATGATGGAAAAGAATTGACTTGCTGCTTTTATGAGGAAGGGGGGATTATCTAGGGACCTAGAGGACTTAGGTCCTAAGAGTTAGTGGCATATAGCAACCAATAAAAGGATGGATTCCCTATGATCAAACCTTCCCGAAATTAAGCTTGGAATCTCCAACGAGGTAAGGGGTGCTGGCAGCATTGTGTATCATGCTAGTGAGAAGTTGGAGTGCAGCCTGAGTGGCACCACAGAGGTAAGCCTGCTCTGCATGTCACGTCATTAATGTGAGGTTGAATCTAACAGAGAGGGAGCCAAGCAATAAGAACGATGTCCCTCTCCTAGCTGTGTCCCTGGGCCATCCCTGAACTTGTCAGGCCTTCTGTCCCTACTCGGGATGATGATGATTCCTTGGGGTGAGTCTGCACTGTTCTGTGGAATGAACGTGTAGAGCGTCTCAGGCAGCCCATGGCACATAGCACGCAGTGAATGTGGCCAGCAGTCAGCTCTTTGCCTTCACCCCCTGCTGGATTCTCTGTCCCAAGAGTCTTCCCAGCTTAGGAACAAACATTTTCATGCTGGCCCATGCCGCTTTAATTCTTGGGCTCGATGTATTAACTACTTCTGACCATGCACTACTGATGGATACACAGAAGGGTAGAAGCTGCCTGCATCCAGTTGGTACAGCCAAACTTCAGACAGCCTGCTCTGAAGTAACTTCACTCCTCATCTTTGTCCGTGTCTCCATTTCTCTCTCCCACCCTCCCTCCTAGGGAATGAACTCAGCTGAGCTTTTGCACTGAGCTACATTCCCAACCCTTTTTTTAAATTTATTTTTTATTTTGAGACAGGGTCTGGCGAATCTCAGAGTTGCCCAGGCTGGGTGGAAACTTGCAATCCTGCCTCAGCTTCCCAGGCTACAATAAATACAGACATACCCCACCATGCCTGGCTCTGGTATCTCTTTATTAATAGGAAGTTATGAGCTCTTACGCCTCTGCGCCTTTGAACAGGCTGTTGCTGCTACTCTGAACACATCTTCCCTTCCCATTTGGCTGGCTCCTTTCTTCACCCTGTTGATGTGGGGTCTTCCTGTGAGGTGCCCCACTGGGCCACCGTACTTTGGGTGTAGCCTTTGTTCTGCTTAATCATCTGTTCCTGCTTAGCTTCCCTCTGGCTCCCTGTAGGCAACAAGCTCACCTTTTTACTCCTCTCTTTTCAGCGGAGCTTGGAACAGTATCTGACTCACCTCCCTGCATTTACAACCAAAGGGTGTTTATTGGTACATTCTAGTTTGCTGCTGTTGTGTTTGTTTTTGGTACCAGGAATCGAACTCACAACCTCACACTTGCCAGAGAGGAGCTATGCTGCTGAGCTATATCCCCAGCCCTGCTGTTCTTTTTATTTGGAACAGGGTCTCACCGTGTATTCAGGCTGGCCTCAAACTTACGGCCATCCTCCTGCCTCAGTCTTGGAGTGCTGGTGACAGTTTGAGCTTTGCTGTGAAAAAAGCTGTGAGGCTTTGCTCCCACATGAGAATCTGGGCAGGCCCACCTACCATGGGTGCTAGAGAAAGCCAGCAGAACCAGCCCTGTGGCACAGTTTAGGGAAGACGTTTGGACAAAGACTCCTTGTTTGATTGTTCCTTTACTATAGTACCGAGTTCTATCTGCTTATGCTGTATTTAGGGTCTGTTTTACTTACTGTGATGAGAGCGATCTCTAGTTTGCTTTCATTGTGCTTGCTTAATTTTGCTCTTGGTATGCTAGTTGTATTAAGTGAGTTGGATAGCTTCCTTTCTATTATGATGCTTTGGAAAAGTCTGAATAGCTAATATGTTGCTCTATGAAGTAGGTATTATCTATTTCTGAAATTTTCCTTGAACCAGCCCATTAAGCCTGTAGCTTTTTTCCAGGCAGATCTCTGGGCATTGTTTCAGTCTATGACTGTTCGTCTGTTCAGGGGTTCTTTTTTTGTAGCCAGTTTTGGGCAGTTTTACCTTGATTGATACAAGCAATTATTAAGACTTGGCTTTGACAGAGGCTGGCTGGAGGGGAAGAGACAGTGGTTTTAAGTCTGTTTTTAGAAATATCACAAATGTGGAACCCAGGGAGCACAGGTCCTCCCGTCTTCCATTGGAAAACACTGAGGCTGAGGCACAGTGAATTAACTACCCTGCCCTGTCCATTCATTCTCAATGAATGCTCCTATGATGCAGAGCTTTGCACAGCACTGGTGCTCGCCTGCTGGGGGGTGGCCTCAGCACCGCACTCTTTTCATTCTAGCACTGCCTCGCTCTCTTGGTGGCTGGGGCGGCCAAGGGCAGGTGCTGGGCTTTGTGAATCTTCAGAGCGGTCCACACAGCATCTGCTTTCAATCAACAGTGAAAATGAAGTCTGCTAGCAGGAAGGAGGAGACAGCAAGAAACATAAAACAGATGTGGCTGGGCCAAGTCGGAGCTGGACAGGTGGTGACAATGCATCCAGGCAGGAAGTGCCCGTGCCAGGCGCTGGAGGCAGGGATTGGGGCACAGGACTAAGGAGAAACACGAAGCAGGTACAGGAAGGAACTTAAAAGGAGCAGCATGATTCTGTTCATGGGAGGTGCCCAGAGGAGGCCAACCTAGAGGGACAGGAGATGAGACCAGGCACAGTGCAAAACCACCCCAAGGAAGCTTTTTGGGGTGATGGGTAAGGTTCTAAATTGGATTGCAGTGTTTTGGGTGTGTGGGGAACCACTCAGACAGCTTCAAAGCTCAGCGGCGTCTAAGGACACCTGGGGACATGACCCTGCTTGTCTAGCGCAAGTGCACAGTGGGATACACTTACGTAACCCTGACTTAGCACAGGTAACATGCATGTGCTGGTTACAGCAATATGTAAGAATGTAAATATGTGATAGCAACCTGTGTAAGAATTATACAATAAAGATGCAGGTGGCTCTGGCACTCTTAGGCTCTTGTGCTCTGCTCTGCTCCATGCCACCTGCTGCTGTTGCTGATGTCTTACACACCTGCGTTCTTTAACCCGGGATTTAACCCTCAAAAATCTCCCTTGGGCCCCGAGTGGGCCAATATAGTGTAACTGTAAATTTGCTAAGAATTGTGTACATTTTTAATGCATTGAAATTATGTAAATTATACCTCAATAAAGCTTTTTTAAAAGTGAAATCAGACTCCAATATGAAAGGCTGTAATGTGTGAGTAGAATGCATTTATTTATTAGTTTTTTAAGGCAGAGCCTTGCTACATAGTTCAGGCTGGCCTTGAACTTAATTCAATCCTCCTTCCTCATCCTTGGGAGTCCTGGGCTTACCGGCGTGCGCCAGCATGCCCAGCTCCTGTATCAGTATTTATAAACTACGAGTTCACATCAAGTGCACACTGTGGTCAAGCTCACTGCACACCAGAATCGTGCTGGGGTGTGGGGGCTTTGTCTCTTCCATCCCCATGTCCAGCGGCTCTCTCAGAGCTCTGCCAGCCCGGCCTTTGTAGAGTCTCCTCTCTCAGCGTCCCTCCTTCCTGACTCAGCTCTTCTCTTTCCTCTGGAGCCCTCGCTCACAGAAAGAAGACTCCAGGAAAGTACTTTCCCTTCCATGCGAACATCATGTTTAATGTGCTACTGCTGCCTGATCGGACAACTGCAATCTGAAACACAGGCGCTAGTGAACATCAGTCAGTCAGTCTTTTTTTATTTATGTTTTGCTGTAGGTACGCATTGAACCCAGGACCTTTGCACTGAGCTACAACCTGCTCATCCCCTTTTTAAATTTTTATTTATTCTGAGACAAGATCTGGCTAAATCACTGAGTTCCTCAGGCTGGGTTTGAACTTGCAGTCCTGTAATACCTCAGCTTCCCAGTGTGCTGGGATTACAGGTGCATCATACCCTGCCTGTCACTCAGACTTTGGTGGCCATGCCTGAAAGAGGAAAGGAGTTTATTCTACAGCCAATGAAAAGCAAGAAGCTAAAGGCAGGTGAGCTGGAAGGTTCGCTGAGGTTTCCCTGACTGTTTTTACCATCACAGAAACTTCATCCTTTGTTTTCAGTCAGGGAGGGGTCACCGGGAGGAGAGTTTCCACTTGTTGCACTGTTTGCCAACTTTGTTTCCCTAACCCAAGCCTCTTGCACATTCAGCAAAGAGTACAGGCTGCCCAGTAAAATCTGCATTTCAGATAAACAACAAATAGCCTATCCCAGATGTTTTAGCAAAATAAACAGAAAAGGGCCAGGGACACAGCTCAGCAGGAAGGCTCCCACCAACCCCTCGTGTGACCGTGGAGTGTCCGAGTCACACACAAAACGTTGCTGTTGTGAAACTGAAATTGACTGGGTGGCGGATTCTCACCTCGAAGTCCCGCTGTGGATCAGAAGAGTGGAAGCCTGTCTGGGATACCTTCTTTGCCTAGTGTTTGCTTTTAGAAACAAAGTCTCCAAGCAAAACGTCAGCTTTCCCTGTTGTTGGGAAGATTGAGTTTCAGTTTAGCACCTCTTACAGCTAATTCCCGTTTCAAAGGAGAAACCGGTTCCGCAGCGAGAGGTTTTCCCAGAGCCGGGCCGGGCCACCTGCACATCTGTGGCCGAGGTAGGGCCGTGCGACCCGGGTGAGGCCAGCGGAGACCCTCTGTCTCGGTCTTCCCGCCCCGTGCCCGCAGGCGCGGTCCCCACCCGTGGATGCAGCAGGCGGGACGAGCCGGAGGGCGCGGCCTCGGGTAGCTCCGGTGGACACGCCCTCGGTCCCGCCCGCTCCTCGTCTGATGTGGCGCTGGGACGGCGCAGGATGCTGGTGCGCGGGGCACTGCGGCTACCCGCGACCCCCGGAACCCAAGCGCAGGTAACGGGGCAGGGCGGGGCTCGGGGCTGGTCCACTTCGCGGGTCCACGTTGGCCCGAGTCCAGGCGGGGCGAGGCCCAGCGACCGTCCCGCGCGGACGTCCCAGTGCGGTGGCCTTTCCAGCCTGCACGCGAGCCTTTCCTGTGTTAAAGAGGGAAGAGAAATTAGCGTGGGTTCGCAACAGGAGTCACGAGTGTGCGCCGCGAGTGCCGGAGCGGGCCACGCGCGCGCACCACGCAGACCCAGGAACCCGGGCCAGCGGAGGCAATGAGTTGCAACGCCTGGCAGCCTCTGAAAAGAGCCTGGCTTCTGAGGCTGGTTTCCCCCGCCATCAGATTAGTTTCAGATTGCTGAGGAGAAATATGTTTAATGTTTATCTTTTAGCTGTGCAGTGTGAAAAAGGAGCAAAAAGTAAGCAAAGACTCCTTGCAGTTTCACTTCCTATTTCTTTTGGAGTTTTCTTGCTTTGGTTTGGTTTTTTGTGTGTCCTAATTGCTTTCCCTCTACAACTGTCTTAGGGCTTTGCGTTTGGATTAATGCAGGGAATATTTAAAAGCGTTTTAAAATGCTTTCCCCAAGTGTTTCAAAGCAGATGAAGAAGGCTATTTTATTACTGGTACCTAAGAGAGGGGAAGCCAGCCGTGGCGCACACCTGTGATCCGCACTCTGAGGCTGAGGTAGGAGGATTTCGAATTCCAAGCCAGCTTGGGCACTTAGCGACTTCCGGAGACCCTGGGGTGGTTGCGATCCGGAAGGGAGGGCTCGGGCTCCTTATTCGCACCCCCACCGGTCACATCCAGCTCACACCCAGCCTCAGCGACACAGGTCTGGCGTTGCTCTCTGCGCAGCTCTCCACGCCCTTCTGAGTCTGGGTCCCAAGGCTCTCGCTTCCAGGCCCAGAGCTCCAGCAAGACTGGCTTTGGTGCTGAACAGGGCTGGGGCTGGGGCTCGGGGCACAGCCATGGATTCAATCCAGGAAAAAGGGTGGGCAGAGACTCCTTAAAATGTACGATGGTAAATTTCTTAAAGTAGTTGGGGAGAGAGGCTTTTTAGGAATTGTACTTTTATGATCAGTGTTGCATTTCACTGTCGTAGGCATACTCAACCCTGGGAACCCCTTCGCTACATCTCATTTCAGCACAAGTGATTGCTTTCCATTAAACCTGCTTAACAGATCTGCGCTTCTGGGAAGGAGCTCTCGGCCTTGCACAGCAGGGCAAGCCCCCCACCACAGAGCCCCCATATGTGCCCTGGCCTGGGGTGGTGCTTCCAGACTCCAGCAGGGGTGCCCAACTGCGGGTCCTTTCCCCACACGGCCGTCCCATGCTCTGGCTGCTGGCTTGCCCTAACTGGAAGGCGGTTGCCTTATAAAAGGAGAAAATGATGGGGCTCCTCAGGGCTAATAATAGGGCACAGCAGTTAGAGCCCAAAGCCAGTGAATCATCGCCCTTGAAGGTTTCTGATTTGCAAGATTTTAAGTCAGCTGTCCAAGCTGAAGACAGCTTGCTCATCTTGAGAGGCGGAAAGGATCCTTTTTACTTGTCTGGTAACATGTACCCCCCCCCCATAAAAACAATCCTGTTAGTTTGCCTGTTTATATGGAGTGTTAAAATCTTACTGTGAAGAAACCAAGAGCGGTGTCTTTGCCCCGTAGGATTTTCTGCAAATCAAATTACCTTGCTGGAGGGACATTTTTCAATCTAAGGTCTTCCTGTTGGGTGGTTGTCCCACCTGACAGAAAATGTTCTGTGGCTCAAGATGAGTATTATTTAATATAATTTATTTCATGCATTTTTTCCTATAAACATTCAGACCCCTGAAGCCTTTGAAAGCAGCTAGGAAAAAAGAGAAAGGTGGTTTGTGACCTGACCGCTATAAAATACCAGCTTACAAGGCCTTGTCAGAAGTAGCACTTCAAATAAGTCTTCCCAGTTATAATTGGTGTTTTCTGAAAGTATAAGTGTGCTTTATAAGAGCACTGAAAAACTTTAAAATGTGTCCTGTTCTCCTCCTTCTATGGTAAGTGGATAATTGTCTGTTTTGTAGGTTCAGGAACAAAACCCAGGTTATTGAGATGGATGTGTTTAGTGTAGCAGAACTGTTTTGAACATGTTTAGTCATAAGTTAAGAGAGCCAGGGCACGCTGTGTTACCTCTGTTCAAGGCATAGCCTGGTGGCCACATCTCTTGCCAGTTCTCTGGCTGAGCAGTTGTCAGGGCAAACAGTGGCTCCTGCCACCACTTCTGTGTGCCAGGAAGGGTGCTGCCTTGAGTGATTACGGTGCCAGGTGGACAATAGCTAAACAAATAGGCTCTTGCCTAGTTTTACCTTTCTCAGTTTGGGAATTCTGCTGCTTAGATTGAAAAACCCCCAACGATAAGATTTTGTTCTACTAATACAGCATCTGAGTCCTCCCATAAGCTTGTTTAAAATGCAGAAGTTAACTGTATTCTGCAGAGAAGCTTAAGAATCAAGTGTGCTTTTTTTAACTCATAGAGACAAAGCATATGGCTATCTTAATTCACAAGATGTTAACTTAGAGAGTACTGTTGAACAGATCTTGTTCAATACTTTCCTGCCCCTCTACCCCTGATGTTTGCAATTGGTGCATTGTATTCTGTAATTCTGGGTTCAGCTCGCTCCCAGGAAGGTTGTGTTGGGATTGTAACTTGCCCTAGACAAAAGGCATTGATGCTTTGATCTCCAAGTATAATTCTAGACCAGTTTGTCTACTAAATGTTAGGCCTTGCCACCTTCCCAGTACTGAGAGTTAGTGCCCTTTAAAAAAAGATTTTATTTTTTAATCATTATAATTAAATGGTATTTGTGCTGTTTTATAGCAAACTCTAAGCCAGGAGATGGTTTTGTATCTCAGCAGATACATATTTGTTGCATGAGGAACCTGTGAAACTCAGGTAGAAACCGAGGGTAAGTGTTGGTTGATCTAACATCTAGTATATAACTCAGTGTGCTTGTGGGATGTGAACAAGTAGCGAAATTAGATGGTGTTAGACAGGCACTTGGGGCAGCTGAGTGCCACCAGCCTAGCTGTGCCACCATTTAGCTCTGTGACTTTAGCAGTCATTCTGTTTATTTGGGCCTTTTTTTTTTTTTTAATGTCCCCTTTTCAAAATAAAAGCATTTGTTTCATTGGTTTTAAAAGCCTGTTCTGTCTAGAAAATTCTCATTTTATTATTTCCCTCGAGGATGTAACTATACTTTTGAACAGTTACCAATGTCAAAATTGTTGTCTTAATGATTTGAAATTTCTCTTAGGATACTAGACTGTCAGTCAATTGGCACTTTCACATAGCAATTGTAATAACTATTTTCCCTTTCAAAAGAATTGAACTTTGGTTGATAAGGTTAACATGTTTTAATGGAATAGATTCTCTAAGACATTCTACCATTACCAGTGTTTTTTATCTCTGAAATGTTGCTTATTCAAGAGTATTTAGCATTAGGATCCTAAATCATTAATAGGCATCTTAGGCTCCCCTGTAGGCATAAACCGGTACATCATAGATGAAACAGGTGAAAAATCAGTCGTATTCGAGAAGAATGCTTTTTGACCCCATTGAATTAACCAGGATTTATTTTGCTTGGTTTTTAAGCAAACACCAACTCTCTGAGCTGCATTACACTTTGTGACACGGGATCCCCCAGCCAAATGCTTATTTCCTCCCATTGCAGAGCAGCTCTGGGTAGTGGTGCAGTCAGTCCAAAGGTGCCCCAGGAGACCTGGGGAAGAAATTGCTGCCCAGGCTTGGTTTAGGACAGATGAGTTCCTTGGTTTCTTTGGAGCCAACTTGGAGTTTATGGTAGAGACAGTGAAATGACAGCTTCTGCTGTTGTCTCCACATGCTGGCTGCCAGGAGCCTGGGACTGGATTCCCCGCCCACCTCTGCAGGATGGGGGAGACCTAAGCTGCATTCATATGTGGGTGGTACTCGTGTTTTTAGCTTGAGGACCTCCAGGAGTTTTTTCCATTCATAGCATCATCCATTTTTCTGTGATTAGCTTTTATGGGAAAAAGTGATACATGAAAAAGTTTTGAGAAATTCAAAAAGTCAACACTTTGGTGTTTAAACAAATAGTGTGTGTTGTCAGTAGTAAACTGTGGAAGTGTGGCAGACCAGTCCTGAGTTGGAAAGTTCTGCTCAGTTATCAAGACCTATGAATTCCTTTACTCCCAGAGTTTCCAATTTCATCAGCTCCTCATTGGTGTTGATTTTGCAGAATTTTACCCAAAAGTAAGAGCATTGCAACCTAAGGTTTGTGGGTTTTTCTTTTTTCTTTTGCAGTTCCTAGGGGATTACATTTCTATCTAGGACTCACAATAATGATGAGAAATGATGGATAAAATCTGTGCTGATAAACAATGTCCACTGAAGGGAATTTCTCTGAATAGATATAAGGGTAAGAAATAAGCCATCTTGAAAGTGAAGCAGACTATGGAGCTGGAGTTGAATTTTCCATAGTAGGCAGAAACAAGAGGGACAGAAAACATTGAACTTTAGATCAAGAAATTGACAGGCTCACAAGTTCACAGAGCTTTGGTGTGGCAAACTTTGGGTGGGAAATATCTTGGAGCCTTGCAAATATGAATTCTCCCTGAGGTTCTTGTGGTATTTACAGCACTATCTTGGTTCATGAACTTAATTCATTCCACAGTTCTGGAAAAGATGGCCCTGTCCGTGTTTGTGTGGGAAAGGTAGCTGTAGTCATGTCTGTCACCTGATGCAGAGTCAGCAGACAAAACCAAAATCTTGCCAGATGCTTCTATTTGTGAAAAAATTGTTTGCAAAGAAAAGCATTTGTGAATTGAGGTACTAGTGTACTAGATTGAGTATACCGCTTAGTTTGGTTGTTTTTTCCTTTTCATTCTCCTTTGTTTTTTTGAGACAGTCTTTCTGTGTAGTTCATGCTGGTCTTGAATTCAGTATGTAGCTCAGGCTGGCCTTAAACTCATGGCCATCCTCCTGCCTCAGCCTCCCAAGTGCTGGGATTATAGGCATGTGCTGCCATGCTGCACATTCTTTCTGTTTTGAACTGCTACAGGTACAGGTGATATCCTACTGTCTTCAACTTATATGTATAACTTGGTAATGAATACATTGATCAGATTTCATTTTGAGGACCTAAAGATGAGTTTGCTTATTTTGTTGTGAGGTTTAATATTTGTTAAATGTGAGAAAAAGAAGTATGCTCTGCAGAGTGTGTACAGGCTAATTAAAGGTAGGAAAATTACACTCTATAGAGTGGACACTGAGAGAGCTTTCAATGGCAATGAGGCTAATGATGGCCATCTTTTGTACCTCAGGCTGATATCATATCTAGGCCATCCTATCAAAAACCTACTTCATTTCATGCCAGGAGAATAGAAGCTATTCTCTGATTGGTCCTAGGTTTGGGGATTGGGCACATGTGTTCTAGATCCCTATGACTGACAAGTCACACCCACATGCCCAGCCAGCTAGCCATGCCCTAATTGCCTGCCTCATTTCTCCCTGGGAGACATAAATCTCCATAATTCTTTATAGGTTGCTGAAGGTGTGACAGTCTCTATCTTCATATAGCTGCTTCTGACTGAAAGGGGCTGTAGTCCCTAACTGCTGGGTAGTGCCAGCTACCTTGAGATGTTATAGCTCATGGATTGAACTGAGAAAAACATGCGCTTGAAGCAGTACTGGAGTCTTGCTTTTTGAAGAGAGGTCTTAGGTCTTTTAGAGGTTCACAGGAATAGCTTTCTTCTTTTGGGTGGTCCTTTTCCTCAGACAGTTCAAGTGGAGCTGGCTTTATCCTTTGTAAAAAATAATCTAAGTGAAGAACAGTATCATAATTTAGACTGCTCTTCTATACCTAGTTCTCACAATTTCCTAGTTCATACTGGACTCACATATTATTGTGTGGGACTATGACTCCTTCAGGGTCAAACTGAAGGTTGTAGCTTGGTAGTGAAGAGAGATCTGGAGGTGGAGGGGATCTGCAGGGTGTTCCCCATGGTGTATCATGGGGCCTCTTGGCTGGCTTGCCAAAACTGTGTTACTGGGGTTGAGAGGGCTGTTCTCTTCCCAGGGGTGCTTTCCAGGTTCTTGGTGCCCTAAACAAAGAATTGGTCAAGACAAGTGCACAGGTAGTGAACTTTTACATTTATTGAAGGTATTAAATGAAGGAAAGGAAGTGTACTCTTTAAAGGGAGAGCAGGCCACCGAGAGAGCTCACAGTGACCAAATTAGCTCATTTTAACTTTTTGGGCATGACAGTATATAACGCCCCAAACCTGGCTGGAGAAAGGAAGAGGGTACCATTACTTTTGACAAATATTTGTTGTTTTTCTGACTGTGTATGTGTTCATGTGGAGTTCTCACCTTTGTTAAATATTTTAGTTTTGGTATATGAATGCCTCTTGTTATGGTTTGTGTCTGGGTGTCCCCCCAAAGCCTCGTGCGGTCATGGGTCAGGCTTTTAGAGTTTGATTGATTATGGGTGTGAGAGCTACACTCACCCTGGGGTGGATAATTTGCATATGTAAGGGAGATGAAGAGGCTGCTTGAGGCCATTCCTCCCTTGTCTGTTTTTGTTGCTTTGACTGTGTTCTGCTGCCATGAGTGGTAGCCCTCTGCCATGTGCCACTCTGCCTTGTAACCTGCCAAGTATGGACTGAAACCTCCCCAAACTGTAAGTGCAATAAACCTTTCCTTCCTTAATTTTGGGTGTCAGGTATTTTGTCCCAGCAATGAGAGAAAAGTAACCAAGACACCTCTAATATAATGGGATATTTGAAGAGAACATTTTATTTATTTACTTATTTGAGACAGGGTCTCCCTATATAGTTTAGGCTGGCCTTAAGCTAACTATATAGTCCAGGCTGGCCTCTAACTTGTGACAATCCTTCTGCCTCAGCATCTTGAGTGGTGGGACCACAGGTGTGCACCACCATGCCCAGCCAAAGAGGGTGTTTTAAAAGGTGTCATACACCTGTAGTCCCAGCAGTCCGGGAAGCTGAAGCAGGAGGCTTATGAGTTTAAATCCAATCTTGGCAGTATAGTAAGACCCTGTCTCACAATATAAGATAAGGGCTGGGGGCATAGTTCAGTGTGGAGACCCTGGGTTCAATCCCTAGGACCCAACCACCACCACCAAAACAAAGTGTTCTTTCTAGATATTGACAGTGTCTCATCTGCCTTGTCACCCTCCTGAGTTCTACTCTTTCAAGCCTAAGTTCCAGAGGCCACCATCTCCACCCTGGCTGCTTTGATGAGGTCTCCGCAGATCTCTGTGCCCAGCGTGACCCTTCTTCCAGCCTCATAGCCCTTAAGTGCACCTGTATCATTCAGCCACACATGACGGTTAGTGGAGTACCTCTGCTTTTCCCACCTCGTTTCTAAGAACCACCATGGTCAGAAATAACTTTTCTGCACCTTTATTTTATTTCCTCTGCTGTGGCACAGGAAATACATAACAAATATTTGTTGGCTCAAGGAAAGAAGGAATGGGCAAAAAAGAATGAAATATTTCGAGGTGCGTTGGTTTACATCTACAATCTGAGTTACTTGGGAGGCTGAGGCAAGAGACTTACAAGTCCAAGAGCAACTTGAATGATTTAAGAAATCCCTGTCTGAAAACAAAATGTAAACAGGGCTGGGGGTATAGCTTAGTGGTAAAGCACTTGCCTAGCATATAGGAGGCTCTGGGTTCAGTCTGCAGTATCTGAAGAAGAGAAAGAGAGAGAGGCAGAAGAGAGAGAGAAATTATTCTACATAGTTCCTTAATGATGTGTTCTTTGGGTCTTGTCTTCTCAATTTCCTGTCCTCCTAGGGGCAGAAGTATTCTTGTGTACTTTTGGAAATATGAGGCTTGAATAATTGTTCATTTTAAAAAAGTTAACAAGAACTTTTATACACATTGCATTTTCTGTTATAAGCAAATAGTAATCTTAAATTCTATCTTGGTTGACTTATTTCGGATATGCTTTCATATCATGATTTTTAAAGAACATAACTAACATAATTGAACAAAATATATAAATTCTGCCGGGACATCCTGGCATACAAGTGTTTTCCTGGCTACTACTCTTTGTTTGTTTGTTTTTGAGTCAGGGTTTCACTATGTAATTCAGATTGGCCCTGAAATCACTCTGAAGTCCAGGCTGACATCAAACTTGCAGGGTGTGGCCTGTGCCCAGCCCTGAGGCTGCTTTTAGTGTGCTGTGGCCTTAGCATGATTATTGACCTGGGTAGTCGCACTCCTGTTCTCCACAGCTAAGGAACTTCTCTCACTGGGATCCTCAGAGTATTGGATCATATTCGTTTTAAATGATGAAATGCTGCTTTGTGGTTGCCAAAAATTACTAGCCTGAGTACTGAAGGTTTACTTGTTAAATAAGTTAGGGTGTTAGTTAAAAAAAATTGTAAAAGGTTGTAAAACACAACTCCTGTACAAAATACGAAACTGACCTTTTGGAAAATAGAGTAACCCTAAGAAAGAGGAATCTAGTTTTTGGTGTTTGGGAGCAGGTGGAGCTGTCCGGGACCAGCCTCTGTCAGGGTTCTGGATGCTGGGCCTCGGGCCGGTGTCAGTCCGTCAGTGCCATACACTTCTGGTGCTGCTTCCCAGCGCAGAGTGGCAGGGCCTAGAGCCGGAGTCTTTTGTGTATGCACGGAAAGTGCACTTCTAAGTCCAGTGGGGCCACAGGGACCCTTGCACTGTCCTCATCTTTCTAGACGTAGGGTGGCGCCGATGAGTAGGGTGGTGGCAGTGGAGGTCCCAGCTCTTCCCAGACCCTTGGCTACTGCAGTGCTGCCACCCCCGACCCACTCCAAGACACCTGGTTCTGCCGCCACCCCCGACCCACTCCAAGACACCTGGTTCTGCCTGGATTCTTAAAAATGCCTTATCTGAAAGTTAGCTTCTACTTCCCCCGCCTTGGTTAGGTTGGTTTACTGTGAGTTGTGGTACAGCTTATCATGCATCTGCTCTTTCGTTGTTAAGTCCAAATCTGCCTTTTGTAATTAATTAATTTATTTATTTATTTACTGGTGTTTTAAGACAGTCTCACTATGTAATTCAGGCTGGCCTTGAACTCACTATGTAGCCCAAATGCTGGGATTACAGACATATGCCATCATGTCCAGCCCATATTTCCTTTGCCCTAGGATGGGTTTTGCCCCCTTTTTTTTGTACTAGGATTTGAACCCATGGCCTTTGTACCAGGCTACATCCTCAGGCCTTTTTATTTTTTATTTTAAGACAGGGTCTCACTACGTCTCTAAATTGCTCAGGTTTGGCTCAAACTTTCCATCTTCCTGCCTTAGCCTCTTTGGGTGCTGAGATGGTAGGTGTGCCCCAGCATGCCCTGTTGGGTTTTGCCTTTTAGTCAAGCTGTGAGATCTCAGTGAAAGGTTTGGTGGTTTACATCAACGCTGTAGGCTTTCATACAAGACCCTTAAAAGTTTCATGGAAGACAAGAAGGTGCTTAAAAAAGATGTGTGTGCTTTCTTCAGTTGGTTTGTGATTGTCAAATGCATATTAGAACCAATAAACCCTAGAAGAATTTCCTAGACAAGGAATCTCATTAGAAATTGCAGAGATGGAAGAGGTGAGATCTGATTAAGGTCTGAGGGCAGCTGAGGTTTACAGACATATTCTGAGTGGGAAGAAAGTACAGAACCCCAGAAAGCGGAATGTGGGAGCAGACACAGTTCCTGTGATGTGCCGTCCTTGGTAGATGTCCATCAGCATTTAAACATCCTACTAAAATGTTGTAATACAGGATTAAAATTAAATTCTGTGTCACAAGATGAGGTGCTGCAGAATGTGTTTCCTAGGCTGCTAACAGATATTCCAGAAAAACAAATCCTCTGTTCTTAACAGTTTAAAGAACTCACAGCTACTCCATACTAGGTTAAATGTGCTCCTCTATGACTGGCTGTTGAAAGCTTCATGTTGCTCACACATGTTGGGACAGACTGGGAATAAGAAAGAACCTGACCACAGACCTCTTTAATTCCTGGGATTCTGACTCACTCTTCCCAGAACAGTAGGCCATAGAATTTCAATTTGAAATTGAAAATTAGACCGGGGAAAATAAAAAATAAAAAATAAAAAAAGTAGAAGATTAGACCGGGGATGTGTTATGTTAGGAAACACGTGCCTGCCTATCACTTCCTTGCCTGTTTCCTCAGGCATGACTAATCTTGTCACCCTTGCCCTGGCCCATTAGGCCACTCCCCAAAGCGGCATTCTCTAGTCCTCCTTGCCTTGGATGTGATCAAGTTCTGAATAATCCACATGACAAGGAAGTGATGGGTACAACTTCTAATATACATCTTTAACTGGAAGGCTGATCTCTCACTTCCTTTTGCTGGGCTGGAATGCAGATGCAATGGGGGACCCAGCTTGGCCCACTGGATGGAAAGGATTCCCACACTTGGTTGATCTCAAGGGGGCTCCTCACTGCCTACCTATGAGAAAAACAAGCATCTCTTTTGTCTGAGTCATGTTACATTTTGGGGTGTGCACTACATCAGATTTGCCTGTATTTTGTCTAGTCCACTGGCCAGCAGGGCCAACCAAAAGTCTCCAGGTGGAGAGACAGACACTGTGAGTGCCTCGGTACTATTGGTTATCAGGGTGAAACCTGAAAGAGAGTGATGAGATGACCAGTACACAGACGTAATGCAATTTTTTCAACTTTATATTTTTATGAGTACATATTTCTCATACGTACTGATTATATTCATCATAGGGAATCTGTACCTGTACATTATATACCTTGATTCTTTTTCCTCCATTCCCTCCCCTCCCTTCAACCCGTCTCCCCCTTCCCATTTACAGAAATCTTTGTTTCCATTTTTTCCCTTCTATTTGTAATAGGTTTTATAAGGAGTGACAGTTTCATGCACGGCCACTTGGCTTATCACTCACCCATTCTATTTCTTGTTAAAAAACCTCTTCCATAAGTAGAAAGCCTTCCTGGTTACCTGGAATGGAAATAATCTTCTTTTATGCCTGCACAGTGTTTGTTCTATTTACCGTCATGTGGTACTTGTATAATCCCTTGTATTAGTGCTTTTTGTGTATCTGATTTATCAGCATGCCTGCTTTCCCTGTTCATATTCACCTTCTTTATGCATTGTACCTCTTAAAGAGCAGGTACCATAACTTTTATATCTTTGAAAAATATATATATATATGTTTATTTTGTTAGTTCAGGTACTTGTGCTAGTGAATGAGGTATAAGAAGGTGGCTGATGTTATGTCAGGGATGATGCTGATCTATTCCAGGGATTAGTAAACTTTACCTGTCAAGGTCCAGATAGTAAATGCATTAGGTGTTGCTGCCTGTGGCCTTTGTCCCAGCTACTCAGACCTGCCGTGGTCGTGGAGAGCAGTGTGGACAATACAGTAGGGAGTGGGTGTAGTTGTATTCCAGTAAACTTTATTCTCTAATATGGCAACAGATGAGATTTGACTGACAGGTGATAATCTGCCAGCCTTGGACTCCACACCAAGATTTTGGTGGTGGTAATAGAAACACTGTGCGAGGTGATGAGTGAAGCTGGTTGGAGCCAGCTCACAGTCACACAAGGCTGCGGTCACTGTACACGCAGCTGGAGCAGTGGGCATCGATATGGTGGAAAACAAGAGGAAGAAGGTGAGGATGTACAGAGGCCGCAGCAATCTCCTGTGCTCAGACTCGCACCACTCCGGGGCCCCTGAGCCCGGAGAATCAGGGGACAGTAGAGAATACCAGGACTGGGCAGAGACGTGCTCTGGGCTGCTGTCCAGAGCCAGGGCAAGAGTCAGAATCATGTGGGGTGTCCCATCACTTGGGGAGTAGCCACTGGGTGAGAGCTGAAGATGTGGGCTCTGGCGCCGTGTTTATTCCACCGAGTTTGTTTCCCTTGGGCAGCAGGTTGAATCCACGGCATCACTTACCTTTCCCCTGGGCCCAACACTGGGACTCTGATCAGTACACGTATGGTTTTCTTCACTTTTGTCTCTCAAACCTGCTTTTAAAGTGAACTTTCTGTCTCTACTGTTTAGAAGAAGCTGTGCTGCTGAAACAAAATGTCCAGCAATAATTAAACTTCTGTTCTTAACACGGGTTTTTTTTTACCTGGGAAATGCTTCTGAGGTCAACTTAGCAGGCCGAGCAGCAGCTCCATTCCACGCTGTTATCCAGGGACCTGAGCTGACCTATACTGTCCTCCTGTCCTCTTCATACCCAACTCCCACAGTCAAAAGGACAGAGGCTTTTTTGCACTTTTTTAGGTCTTGCAAGGTATAGAGGGCTG